GTATTGTAGTTGAATTTATGATATTGTCTGATATATACTGTTTTCTATTTCGAGTTGGCCGATGATATCTACTCAGTACTTGTGTTTGTACTGACCCCTACTTGTAAGTTTCTTTCTTTGTTATTGTGGAGTGCAGCAAATGTACTGTCGTCTTCAATTCAACCGCAACTCTAGCCAGTCTTCATTATACCGGATTTCAGGATGAGCTAACGCTTCTAGCTTGGACTGGATCTTCTTCTTCATGTCTTGATGCCTTGAACTTCCGGCATGGACTAGCTTTTTACTTATTTTAGCTTCTTAGATACTCTTAGATTAGTAATTTGAGGATAGATGTTCTTGTGATGATGACTTCCAGATTTTGGGGATAATAATAAGTGTTTGAGTTTGAGAAGTTGATTATTGATTTTGTTAACGAGTTTTAAGTCTTGCGCATTGTTTTCTATTTATTATGTTTGAAATGTTGAGGTTTAGATTGGTTGGTTCGCTCACATAGGAGGATAAATGTGGGTGCCACTCACGACACGTTTTGGGTCGTGACAAAGAGAAACCAAAATATGGTCAAAATGATGACCCAGTTGGATATCTTGTCAAAAAATGTGATTGGGTAGTGGGTTGAAGAGTGTAAATGTTGTTGGTATTGGGGGAGCAAACCCCGAAGAAGCATACTTTGAGGTGCTATATAATGAGGGAGTGAACTTCCTTGCAAGTCAAGGAGGAGGTTTTTTATTTCATCTAATAAGGTCAAGCTAAATAATTGTCTGGACAATATTATTTCTTTTATAGCCTTCTAACTAGTTAGGAAAGAACAATTTTGTTGACATCTTCTCACTTAAATTATTTGATGGCAAATATTTGTCATCTTAATAAATTGATCATTCACAAAACGTCAATTTTCAATTGAAAAAAGATGGAAACTCGCATATATATATTAACAAATAATACATTCAATTGAGGTCACAAACGTCGTGTGATGATATATTTGCCTTTTCAATTAGTTATATGTTACACAATTCCCATTTCAACTATTGTATTGAATTTATTTAGCAATAAACAACTCTTTTTAAATAATAAAATTTGTAAGCTAATTTGTTTAAATGAATTTACTAGCACAAATATCAAACATAAAATTAAGAAAATAAATAAAATGATTTGAGAGATAATTTATGTAGAATAGTCTCATGGTATTGTATCATATGTATTACTAATATCAACGAAGATATTAATAATAGCATATAGGGTGTATCCAAAATCTCAACTTAAACCAATATTTACAAGGATAATGTGGCATTATTAATTAAGGGTGTATTGGAAGTTCATCATACATAAACTGCGGTTACTTTTGATGGATTGTGGACCTTAGGAATTAGTGCAACAGAAGTAGAATTTTATAGGATGATACATTCTACCAGTATTGAAAAATTGCAAGATTGCTTGAGTGACTTCTTCTCCTATCACAGACCAGGAGTCTTGAGGAAATAAGCATTAAATCCATCACATCCTGGTGGCTTGATACTAAAAGTGAAGAATCCGGGCACGTTAGACCATCACTATGTTTTGATAATTTGGTACGTTCAGTTTCAATTCTTATAATGCATGCAAAAGAATAGTGGTCCACAAACTGATATTGAAGGAAGAGACCGGTGGTGTATTGAACCCAGGAACTAGTTAGTAAAATATATGAGAAGAGGAAAAAGATAAGTAGAAAATTGCTTTATGGTTCAGCCTGTGCCTTTATATTCCAGCTGGTGAAAAGTCAGGTATAGATTTCAAGTGCAACACAGTCAGTAGTTTATGTAGTCTCCGTGACTTGTGTTAGATATCGATCTCCTATTATTTTCCATTATATATGTAGATACTGATCAAAGTCGTACGCCAAGAATTTTAAAATGCTAGAGCTGAGTCTCAAGCACAAAAACGAGAGTTGACTCCAGAAATAGTCATACCAGGTCCTCAACCAACTAACAAGGTTGGTTCTATTTTTCAATCTTGCTAGTTTCTTATGAAAGTTGGATAAAAAATATCCCATTTCTACAAATATTGCACTGTTGCATCTGGCTCCCAACAGTGGTCATTGCAACAATGTACAGTAGTGATTGTATGATATATATGGTTAGATAACCATTGTTTCATCAACAATGTTGCATTGTTCCATTACTCTCAAGAAGTAATGAATCAGCACACGGAGAAATGGTAATGTGTTGTAGATGACTGACTAGGTTATCTAAAATGGTGTAAATATGTTCAGACTTAGCATGTGAACCATCAAAGGCAATAAACTCATGCACTTCCCCGTTCAATTCGATCCAACTACACCCTCGAGTCTTTTCCACACCCATCTCTTTCATCATTTTCCTAACATGAGCTACCCCTTCCCAATTTTTACAAGTAGAATACAAATTCGCCAAGAGTGTATATCTGCCACTGTGATAAGGCTGTATATCGATTAGATATCTTCCTATCCATTCACCTAATTCATACGCCTTGTGAATCATGCAAGAACCAAAGAGAGCACCCCATATGCTAGGAGTAGGTTTCATTGGCATGTCTTGAATCAATTTACAAGCTTCTTCCAGATATCCTGCCCGACCCAGCAGATCGACCATACAGCCATAATGATCTAAATTAGGTTTTAAACCGTAAACTTGGTCCATTAATGAGAACAACTGGCGTCCTTCATCCACAAGTCCTCCATGAGAACACGCACTGAGAATACCAATGAAGGTTACTTCATTGGGCCTTATACCATGTCTCAACATTTCTAAGAAGAAGGTCATGGACTTTGCAGCATCACCATGTGTTGCCAGGCCATGTATCATAGCAGTCCATAGATAAACATCTTTATTTGGAAGATTGTCGAAAACCAACAGTGCCTCTTCAATGCACCCACACTTTGCATACATATCTATCAAAGCAGTGGCAAGTGCTGTATTAAATTTTACGTTGTGAGCTTTTATATAATTAGCAATCCATCTGCCCTGCTCCAATGCCCCAAGCTTAGTAGATGCACTGAGGACGCTTGTCAATGTTACTTGATTGGGCACAACCTTTCTGGACAGCATCTCTTCGAAAACAGAGAGTGCTTCCCTACATCTATTGCAGTGTAGAGAGCCAGCAATCATAGCAGTCCAAGAAATAAGATTCTTGTAAGGCATGTCTTCAAAAACTTTCATGGCATCATCCCAAAATCCACATTTAGAATACATATCAACAAGAGCACTACCAATGTAAACATCCCTAGAAACCCTCCCTGGCTCGATATAGAAAGCATGAAGACACTTGCCAAACCAAACACATCTTAACGTTCCAGCAGGAGAAAGAGCTGCTACAACAGCCACTTCATCCACCTTAACTTGTGCTTGTCTCATCTCCAGGAAAAGTTTCAAAGCTCTAACTGGCAGAGCATTCCGGGCATACCCATCAATCAAAGCAGTATAAGAAAGCACGTCCTTATGCGTAATATCATCAAACACTTGGCGTGCAAGGTCGACATACCCACTGCTGGCAAAACAAGAAACCAAAGAATTCTGCACAAATTGGTCAGAAATGTATCCGAACTTTAAAATTTGTGGGAAAATGAGATGTGGGTTTTCATTCTTGGCTCTAAGAAGCAATGGAAAAGTATGTTTATTAGGAAAAACCCCATGTTGGCGCATTTGAATGTATAAACTAATGGAGGAGTTTTGAGGGTGTGAAGTATTATTAGAAAATCCTTTGAACATGATGTTCCATGTATGTATAGCGGGTCTTGTGATGTGATTGAAGAGAGAAGAAGCATAAGAAGATGGGAATGAAGGAAGAAGTAAGCAAAGGCGGAGTAGTTTGCTGAAAAAAAAAGTGTGATGTGAGAGGCCACAAGTGAACAAGACACAGTTCATCTGTTTCAGATGGTACAACTTCCATCCTTTCAACAAAAACAACGACTTCAACTCTTCATTCAAACCTGCCATTTTCCTTCAAGGAATTTATTCCAGCTGTTCAGGGGAGATAAGTCTCTAGTCTCAACATCATGTGCCATTATGTTTTTTACTACATGTAAGCTTTTTATTTGAAAAAATACATCAAATACTCCAGAATTTGGGGGTAAAACTTATTTCAGTGATTTAATTTTACTGACATTTAAATACAATTCTAAAAATAAAATATCATCCACTTGTTATATCATAGTCATGTAATCATCACATCATTAATTTATAATTTTTTTATTTTCTTAAACTCATTACATTAATCAATTAATAAAAAATACACCTTAAATTCAAATTGCTACATCTTCTTTAACCTTTTCTCTCTATCCCCTCCCCTATCTTTTTCTTTCTTGATTTTCACCATTGTCAACTTTCACTAGCTTTTTTTTCCTCATAATTTTTAACCTTCAATAATTGTTTTCTTCTTCAAAATTCATCAAATACTTACTTTTTCTTCTTGAAACCGTTTCTCTCCCACAAATTTTTGCATTGGACAATCATATTTTTCTAAAATTATTTTTTTCTTAACAACTTAAATGAAAAATGAAGATTGTATAAAAAAGTTGATGGACCAACATTTTTTTGCATCACAACTAATAGAATTCAAAATATATTATTTAAAATTGAGATAATGCCCAAGTACCTCCTCAATCTATGCCCGAAATCTCAGAGACACACTTATACTATATTAAGGTCCTATTACCCCCCTGAACTTATTTTATTAATAATATTTTACCCCTTTTCGACCTACGTGGCACTATCTTGTGGGCCCAAGATGGTTGACTTTTTTTTCAAACTAGTGCCACGTAGGCTAAAAAGGGATAGAAAATTACTTATAAAATAAATTCAGGGGTAATAGGACGTTAGTATAGTATAAGTGTGTCTCTGAGATTTCGGACATATGTTGAGGGGGTACTTGTGCAATTTCCCTTTAAAATTTAAGAAAGTTTGAATTCAATAATATGAATTGAGTGTTGAATTATTATAATTAATGAAAGACGGGTGAGATGAGAGATGAAGATGAAGATGAATGAAAAATGTTAATATGAAAGAAGAAAAGTATTAGGAGTGCTTCAATGGGAGAAAAAGACATATGGAGAAGACAACAAACTAAAGAGAGAACAAAAAAATTAAATATTTTTCGAAAATAATTAAATCTACAAATTTCATTTACTTCTAAACAAGAAAATTCACATTCTTTTAATTTTAACTTGTAAAAAAATAATAATTATTAGTTAGCTATTGACCAATAAAAAAATGTCATGTGTATGATTTTACCTTTCATTTTTTTTATTTCACGCTCTTTGAGGAGAGTGAGTACACTCACTTTGCCACGTTAACTCTTAGGGTGTTGTTTAATTAGTTCAAAATTGTTAAAGGGGATACTTAAACACTCGTATTGTTAAAGAACTAAAGTGAGTTTTGTAGCCAAATTCAGGGGGGATTTGATGAATTTTCCCTTTTTATTTTTACAAGAGCAAATAAATCAAATCCCCACAAAACTTATTTTAGTATTGCTCACCTAAGAGATGACATGACAAAGTAAACTCACTCTCCTCAAAGTGCATGAAATAATAAAGGTATGTGTATATATATATATATATATATATGTCATTTAACTTGACAACATATGACATTTATACCCTTCAACTTTGTATGTGTACAATAGAGACTTAAACTTGTATAAAGTTGAACAAGTTGACACATTAGTCTTATGTAGCACAATACACATATGACACCACGTATGACACAAATTGCCACGTAGGATGACCTATAGGACGTGTGTATCTATTTGTTCAATTTTATACAAACTTAAGTGTCTACTTGTGTATACTCAAAGTTAGAGGACACAAATATAAAATAAGACAAATAAGGGTGTGCAAAAAATGAATCGATGAATAAACCGAACCAAAAAAATGTTATTGAGTTATTAATTGGATATTAGTTTTTACTATTAGATTATTGGGTAAAGTGATAACTCAATAAGATGGTAATAATTTATTATTTTACCCTTCCTAATTATTAAATATTAATAATTTAATATATAATTAGACACTATAACTATATTAAATTATTCGTACTCTACCAGTATCATACTAGGCCGCTTACTAGTTTTCACTGTTTACTCAAAACCTAAAGATTAAAGTAAGAGATTCACAATTGTAGCTATTTGATTTTAGTTTTAGTTTTAGTCTAGTTGAACTATTTTATTTTAGTTTTAGTTTGTAATTGTAAGTTATAGCATTTTGCAGCTTTGTAAAGGTCCATAATTTAATTAACATAAAAAATTACATATTATGTGTTGATGGTAACATGTAATTATAGCCTCAGTACTATATTTTCTCTTATTGATGCAAATGTTTCACTATATCAAAACAATTTGAGAAGTGATAAGCCATATAATATTTTACAGACATTTTCTTATTGGATAAATCAAAAATCGACTGATAATGATAAAAGATCGATATACTGAAAACTCATAAAGGATATCTTATTGGTTTGTTATAGGGTTAGCATATTTAAAAGAGAAAATGCACAAGTAACCCCCGCCCCACCCCCAAACCTACGCTCGAAATCTCAGAGACACATTTATACAATACTAAAGCCCGATTACCCCCCCTGAACTTATTTTATACATAATTTTCTATCCTTTTTTGGCCTACGTGGCCCTATCTTGTGCGGCCAGCACGTGTTCACATTTAAAAAAAAAAACTAGTGTCATGTAGGCCGAAAAAAATAGAAAATTATTTATAAAATAAGTTCAGGGGTGATGGGACCTTAGTATAGTATAAGTGTGTATCTTGAGTTCGGGCATAGGTTGGGGTGTACTTATGCATTTTCTCTATTTAAAAATTGAAAATCGATAAACCGAACCAATAATACATAAATCGGATCGAACCGACGGATGCACACCCCTAGGCAAAGTTAAAGAGCATATTTATGTAATATGTCAATAATAAATACACAAAAATTAATATTAACCCATCGGTAGCCCCTTAAACTTGACACCAATTTTCACTTAAACACCTCAATTTGGTAATGTTCATTTTATACACCTCATGTAGAGTTGTATTTTGTCATTTTGACACTTTTCTGATAATTAACAAAAAATTAAAGGAGAATGTAATACACTTGTTGATGACGTGACAAACAATCAGTTAGATAATTACATATGTTATTTTAAGTTAAAAATAATTACAAAATCTATTTAGTAAATAAATTTAAAATACTATTATTAGAAAATCTCTTATTTCATTACACTCAAAATCTCTTTTGTGCTTTTCAAAAAAAATTCTTCTCTTTTACTATTTTTCATTTTTATTCATCTTGTTTCTTTTTAGTATTATTTTTTGGAAAGAAAAGAGTTAGAGGAAGAAAGACGGAGAGAGTAAATATGAAATATGAGTGTTGGTATTCATTTTTTCGACAAAAAAAGGAGGGAGGTGATGGTAGATTTAGATAAGTAATACAATGAAGAAGAAGAAACTGATTTGAAAATGAATTTGAATTAAAAAATTGACCTACATTGAAGGAATTTAAGCTTGAAAAAAAAAAAGATAGGGGGTCGTGGCTTGAAAAATGGAGAAGAAATAGAGAAAATAAAATAAAAATGGCTAAATTAAGCCTTTCATGCGCTATTGTTGAGTGTATCACACTCACTTTGACATGTCAGCAAAAAGTGTCAAAATGACACAACAAAACCCTACATGAGGTGTCTAAAATGAACATCGTCTAATTGAGGTGTCTAAGTGAAAACTGATGTCAATTTTAGGGGGTCACTGATGGGTTTAGCCTAAAAATTAAAGTGTAAATTATACACATGACATTTTTTTGGCCAATATATAACTATTAGTTTATATATTTTTTTGGAAAAAGGCACAATTACCCCCTCAACCTATGCTCGAAATACGAGAGAGACACTCATACTATACTATTGCCCTATTATCCCCCTGAACTTATTTTATAAGTAATTTTCTACCCCTTTTCGGCCTATGTGATACTAACTTGAAAAAAAAGTTAATCAGCATCGGCCCACAAGATAGTGCCAAATAGGCTGAAAAGGGGTAGAAAAGTATTAATAAAATAAGTTCAGGGGGCAATAGAACCTTAGTATAGTATAAGTATGTCTCTGAAATTTTGGGCACAGGTTGAGGGGGTACTTGTGCATTATCCCTATTTTTTTTTATAAGTTGAAGTTTAAAAAATGTGAAATTTCTTGTTAATAAGTGAATGAAAATTGTGGGAATAATTTCTTTTAAAAAAATATTTAATCTTTTTATTCTCTCTTTATTTTGTTGTCTTTCCCAAATGTCTTCTTTCTCATTGAAACACTCCTTATACCTTTCTTCTTTCATATTAAAATTTTTTCGTCATCTTCATCCTCCAGCCCTTCATTAATCACAAAACTCAACAGTTAATTCATATTTCTTACACAACCTTTAGTTATGATGCAAAAATGTGGGTGTATCAATTTTTTTTTGCACAACCTTTGTTTTTCATTTGAGTTATTAAGAAAAAAATAACTTTAAAATTATCATTCTACAATGGACAAATTTGTGGGAGAGAGAGTGTCCAAAAAAGAAAAAAAGTAAGTATGCTATTTTTTTTAAAAAAAAATGATGAATGTCGAAAAAGAAAATAACTATTGAAAGATTGGAAATTCGAGAAATAAAGAAGCTAGTAAGAGAGAAGAAAAGGGGGAAGGGGGGAGGGGCATAGAATAGAAGAGTGGAGAAGATGGGGCAGTTTGAATTTTAAAATGCATTTTTAATTAATTGATTAGTGTAATAAATTTCAGAAAATATATAAGAAAAGAGATGAATAAGCAAAAAAAAACAATTGAAAATAATAATGTGGTGTTTACATAGTTGTGACGTGATACTTACATGACTATGATAACGAATATTTCTATTTATCATCAAATAAATAATTATCACTCTGCAACTCACCTTATTGTTTTTTTTTTTGATTACTTTGTTGTTCATCATCAATATTCTAATAGTGCACCTCATATATATATATATATATATATATATATATATATATATATATATACACACACACACACACACACTCATCGAAGTTATACCCTTTTAATTTGAAGTAGATACCAAAGGCTTGCGAAAGTTTTATTACTCATAAAACTAATATATTCACGATAAACACACCATTTTCAACCATTTTATCGTAGTTGTGTCTTACGAAAATTGGGCGCTTGAAGGAGTAATATTATAGCTCCAAACTAGTATTAAAATGTCATCTAAAATTTTCTAATGGGAAAATGCACAAGTACCCGCCTAGACTATGACCGAAATTCCAGAGACCCAACTTAACTATTCTAAGGCCTTATTACCCCCAGAACTTTTTTTTTTGAAATTTTGTGCACCTTTTTGGCTTACGTGACATTCAATTGTGTGAAGTCATGGAGTGTGCCACGTAAGACAAAAGGTGAAATAAGTTCAGGGGGATAATAGGACCTTAGTTTAGTTAAGGTGTGTTTTCGAGATTTTGATCATAGCCTAGGGGGTACTTGTGCATTTTTCTTTTTTTATTTGATTTTGTATTTAATAAATTA